ACACGTTCACTGATCTCTGCTCTGATAAAACCACATGTGCACTGGGCTGAGCACGCTCAGACCCTCAGACCCCTGTAGGAGCATACAAAACATCATTCAACGCTGCAGAACATCCATCTCTTTAACATCACCACGTCCCTGTCTGGCTGCCCCGGGTCTTTGTGATGTGGCTACAAATACTCCTCCTCTTCCTTTTTTTTGTTCCCTCTGATTTTTGGCAACAGAAGAGGATGAAAGTGAAAGAGAAGGAATAGAGAAAACAACAAAGGCAGCAGACCTTAAACACTTCCAGCTCCTCCAGGATGAGATCTTCCTGCAGGGAGTGATTGCTGGGCAGGACGATCACCTTCTGTATTGTACCTTTGTCTGGAAGCAGAACGCAGACGTGCCGTTAGATGTAACACAAACTCACAGAAATGAACGTAAAGAGAACTGCAGAGCTGACTGCTGTTGAAAAATGAACCCCCGAGTCTGTTTTCCTTTTGCCAGTGTTTGCTTTTGAATTAGCCCTGATAGCCGTGACCAGTTTCCATAGCAAGATCAACTGTGGCAGGAGTGGGAATCGGAGCTCTTAAGCCAGCAGAATGGAGGACGTAGGCCACGGAAAGTGCAAATTCAACCCAACCAAACTATTGTTAACAAAGCAGCTTTGTCGGAGCGGGAGTTCGGGGAGAAGGAGTTACAGGAACAGCCCCTGGAAGGGTCTGATAACTGTGACTCTCTCATCCTCCAAAGAAAAAAAAAACAAAACAGAAAGGCACAAGTTCTGGCCGAGATACGGTTGAACAGGCGCTGGCTTTTCTCTGAGAAACAAGAAAACGCTGCCTCAAAAACAGGAGCAGCTGCAGGATAAAGATGGAGAGGAGTCCCAGAGCGCCTGACTGAATGCAAACACATGCAAACATGATAGTGCACGAGCACAAATGCATGCATAATAAGAAAACAGACGAGTGTTGTTCTGTTGGGCCTCAGAGAGATCTGCACAAACATAAGAGGCAGGTGGAAATGAATGTGGAGAAACATGTGTTCTCAATTTCTCTTTTTACTGAGTACGAGTCGACGTTCATTTTCCAAAGACGTGTCGGAAACTGTACGATGAATAAAATCATTATTTAGAAACACACCTGAATAATTTACACCTATGTGTGCTTGATTCCAAGGCTATAAGGACTATAAACCAATTTTTTCCCTCTGTCAAACCCAGTGATCCTGCTGCTAAAACTCAAGCAAACCAATAAAATTAAATTAAATGAACAAATGGGTTGGTTCAAACAAACATGTCTAGATAAGTTGGACTGAGAGTGAGAAATTAGAACATTTTAAACTAAAACCTAGCTAAAAGACTCAAGAAGCTTAACCTTACATAAACCTGGTCAAGATCAGACATGAAGCTAAAATAGTTAACACTTAGCAAACCAATAAAATTAAATTAAATGAACAAATGGAGATTAGGCAAAAGATAACTAACTCTACCATAACAAAAAGCAACTGTAGCAATTAAAAAATGTCAAAAATATGCAAAATAAATCAAATAATATATGCAAAAAAGCTGACTTAAACATAGCCAGAAGTTTCTGTAATGAAGGGTTGACATTTTTTTCCCCTTTATCTGATGAAGTGTGACATCACTGATCTTTTATTTTTTCCACTTATCTACCACACCCACTGTCCACTATTCTCTGTTATCTGTTTATTGCCACTGCAGCTGTGACTTTATTTTAGACTTATGTAACACCTCGATGACAATTCATAAAGATAAAGATTGTTTTTCTCTTGTGCATTTTGTAAAAAAAAAGGGTTATTCCATGTCTATAACAAGTGGAGTTTAATTACACAAGATAATTTATCAATAAAGTAAAACAAACACTAAAAACAGAAATTGCTTCCAGTAATGACTAGACTTCATTCGATTCTCACCTGTCCCCAGGAAGAGTACTTGGTAGTTGCCATCCGCTGCCATGACCTGGTCCACGGCCACGGACGTGTATCTGTACTCGGCGTTGGTGCGAACCACCAGGGGTCGCCGCCCTACTGGGTAAATGGGGTTGAACATAACCGGGTGATTTCGAACAAACGTCACCACATCGTCAGGGAACTCCTTTGTTGTCTGGATGTCAGGAGTGAAGGCTCCACCCGGGCACTGAACACATCGTAGAAAGAACTGTATGTTAATGTCCATATTTCTGTATAAAACTGCTGAAGGAACTTTAATAATATATATATATATTGTGTTTTTAGGAAAGGGTTTGACATCAACATAAATAATGAACCCTTAGTAGAAGGTAGAAATAAACTAAGATTATATAAGGTGTTCCTCAGAGATCAACACTAGGTCTCTTAGTATTTAAATCATTTTTATAAAAATTAAATTCATGCTTATTAATAAAGCTTCAATTATTTTTGGTTTACAAAATAAATTACATTTACAATAATTTCTTAAATGACATTTAATAATTTCAGTACAATTTTATTATCTAATACTGCACATTCAGCAAATATTTGTTGCAGAATTTGTGTTTTTTTGAATGTCGATGCTTCTTTTGTTCATAAACCAAGACGATGACTTACAGTCCCAGGGCGGGGGTAAGGAATGCGTCCTTGAAATGCCGTCCACTGGAAATTGGGTCCCTCTCTGTGAGCAAAGGGTCCGTTGAAGACCGTGAGGACGTCGGCCATGTTGTAGACACAGACGGCCGAGCCTTTGAACACCGAGCTGAGGCAAATGAGAAGCACAGATCGAGTAAAGCCTAAAGTCAAGGGGAGCCAAAACTAAGATTGAGTGTTTCCGAGGATCTGCAGTCGTGAGTGGAACCTGCCTTTCCCTCCATTATCAGATGTGGTTTGGCCTAATCATTAAAACCACACTGCTTAAGACATAAAAAACGGCTCGGATGAAAATAGGAAACCCACAAGTGTATATTATGGACAGAAGGAGGAAGAAACTGTGTGATGACAGGAAAACCCAAAAGTTTAAACAAGTAAAAGAAAGTTTGGTTTGGCTTTGAACCGTGATACTGAGCCCACGATTTTTTTATCCTTCTGCTGGTTCTTCCGTAACGCGTACATTAAGGGCCTGAAACACAGAGGAAGTTAAAGCGACAACGTGAAGGGAAAGAAACAGGGGTATGGCAAGCAGAGTGGTACAGGAGAACAGGAGGCAGGTCCATTTGGGACCCACAGTGAGACACTGTCCACAAGCTGTTTGAATCCAATGATATTGGCATGAAAGATGAGGAAACTGGAAACAGGTGGGTGAGTAGGAAGGGGAGCTCAGATGACAGGTGAGCAGGTGGATGGGACTCAAGTATCCAGGATAGATATGAAAGTGTGAGGCCATCTACTGGGCAGATACAGCATTGCAGAAGGCAGAGGTCAAATAAGACAGGCTGGTCTGACGGTTGAATTTTTGGAACGTAAGGTCTTAATATTTTGGGTACTTTCAAATTTCTAGGTAAATTAACTTCAAAAGTGGTAAATCAAACTGCTTTTGAGACTGACTGTTCCTAATATAGAAAGTAGCAGACAAATTACGTTGGTCTGCTCTGTTTTTTATTTTAAAATCAGCGTTCTTAATTCTGATATATTTAAAGCAAATACTGAGCCCACGATTTTTTTATCCTTCTGCTGGTTCTTCCGTAACGCGTACATTAAGGGCCTGAAACACAGAGGAAGTTAAAGCGACAACGTGAAGGGAAAGAAACAGGGGTATGGCAAGCAGAGTGGTACAGGAGAACAGGAGGCAGGACCATTTGGGACCCACAGTGAGACACTGTCCACAAGCTGTTTGAATCCAATGATATTGGCATGAAAGATGAGGAAACTGGAAACAGGTGGGTGAGTAGGAAGGGGAGCTCAGATGACAGGTGAGCAGGTGGATGGGACTCAAGTATCCAGGATAGATATGAAAGTGTGAGGCCATCTACTGGGCAGATACAGCATTGCAGAAGGCAGAGGTCAAATAAGACAGGCTGGTCTGACGGTTGAATTTTTGGAACGTAAGGTCTGAATATTTTAGGTTCTTTCAAATTTCTAGGTAAATTGACTTGCACAAAATCGAACTGCCCTTGAGCCTGACACTGTTGCTAATATGGAAATTACACCGGTCTGCTCCGTTTTTTATTTTAAAAGCAGCGTTCTTAATTCTGATATATTTAAAACTAGTAATACCAATATTTTTTTACATCTGAAAAAAACTTGTCAGCCATTATCCAACAGTTTCTATCATCTCTGAAATGTATGCAAACATCTTGCATTTTATTGGTTGCAAAACTGCCTCAGTGCGGCACGAGGGGAGAGATAATAAAACCCGACACCATATGGTGGAGCCACTGGGATGCTGTGAGTGATAGCTCATCACTGGAATATGCCGCTCCGCAACATGACACATGACGTCTCAATGTAACAGTCTCCGCTGACAGGCACATCCCCTCCCGCTGATCTCCAGTCAGTGATTAACAAAACCACCGGGGCCTGCAGGAATGTTACAGTTGGCCTGCGTGCCGTCACCGCCGCCGCTGCTCTTACCTCGTGGACGTGAAGACTCCAAACACCAGGAGACTCTTGGGTTGTTCAGTTTCCAGCAAAAACACATTTTCTGTAAGGAAAAAAAAAACATGTATTTGTAATACACGGATGTACAACATGTATAAAAAAAGTGTTTACTACTACTTTAACAACGCTCCCTCCACATTCTCTATCATCCTATCTCTGAAGCTATGACCAGTGATGGATAGAGGTATTAAAAACCGTTACATGATGACATGTAATCTGATGACATAAGTTGACAGGCCGGTCAAAAGAGTTGATGCCAGAGCTGATGTTTGCAGTTTTCAAAACTCTGGAAGGCTTTGAAAATAAAACATGGTAACCCAGAGCAACAGAAGAGCGGGCGATGTAATTACACAGGGCTGCTCCAGTCCAAACACAGGAAGTCGGTCGGATACTTTGTGGACAGATCAACTATTTGTAAATACGGTTTAAGGAAGCAACGTAATCTCTGCTTCTTGTTCGGGGTATTTTTTGTGAACCACGGGGTTTGTTTTAATCTTGTTTCTTGAAACCTAAAACATAATATAGTGCTATGTAGAGTCCTGCAGGAAGACCTTACTGACATGGATATTTGAAGTTGCAAATGTAAACAAAAGACAAGGAAAGAACTGGAGTAAAGGTGCATTCTTACAGTAGCACTGTGCAGAATTTCTTGTCACTCTTCTTCACTGACATGCTCTACTACAGTGATTCAAAACCACAGGGATGTGGCCCAAACCTGGGCGGCTAGAGGCCCACGAAAAACTTTCAGTTTTGCACCTGTGGGCCACAAGAGCCGCTGGAATGCATATGTCACCAACTGAAGACATAGGTCACCAACTGAAGACACCAGTGAAATGTTATTCCCGAGAAGCTCAGCTAGAGTGCAACTCTCAACCACAAGGTGGCAGTAATGTCAGTTAGTTCTTTAACAGGCTCAATTATACAAAGAAGAAGACTGTCTTTGCTATGCTAGCTGTAGCGTAAAGTATGAAGAAGTTCCATATAAAGAGAGACGCACATCCTGCAGACCTCCCTAAACGGCTAATTATTAGCATAGTAGCGTAATATTTGATAGGTTAAGGTTAAAGGTTAAGAGTCTACAGTACATTTATGCAACAATTAGGTCCATTTCTTAAATGTGGGTCTACATGTGGTTTATGTGTTTTTCAACTAACCCAGTTCATCAAAGTGGGTTTCAGTTCCATCCTCCTCCAGGACTGAACACACCATCCTGGCTTTGAGAAACGTGGTCCACTTGTTGACCAGACTCCTCTGTCCTCCAATGTCATTCTGCAGACAAACTACACTCAGAACCCTGAAAACAACCTTGGTAAAAACATATAAAAAAACTGTGCTCATGACTCACAGGACAGACTCTGGCAACCATTGTGTGGATATTTTTGGTGTTTCCATTATTGTCCGTCAGCCGCTCACGGAAAAAGAAATAGAGTTTGGCGTCATTGGGATCAGTTCCATCTGGTATGAGGTGGGCGTCGATGAAATTTGGCTCTGAATGAAAAGTTGTAGACTATTAAACAAATCCATTAATAACAGAAAACATTTGTGTAATTTAGCAGCATATGGAGAATACGTCAAAGTAGAGATGAAAAAAAAAAGCACAATTACAAAGTGATGACATTGTTGGATATATCTGAGCATGTGCAGAACAGTGGTAGGTGGCAGTGGTTTAGCCAAGTCCTCTTCTCAAGTCTCTAAAATATTATATCACATATAATATCAGGCCAAATTTGGTTAGTCTCAGGTTAAATAACCAAGTCACTGGTTATTTAAGCACAAGGGAAAAAAAGATTTGTACTCGCTGTTTATACTTTTGTATGGTATTGTTGTATTATTGTATTGTACTGTATTTATACTACATTGTGGCCCCACAATTAAATTATGGATGCAGTTTGAGAACCCTTTCTTAGAACCTCTCGGACATTATTATTGTTATTGTTGTACAGTGAAATTATGTATGCAGTTTGAGAACCCTTTCTTAGATCCTCTTGTCTTCTGTTCACAGTTCAACAGACATTATTATTGTTATTGTTGTACAGTAATTTGAATTATTAGTTTTGGCACTGATGAACTGGCTCTCACCGCTAAGCCATTTCGAGTTGTGTTGGTCCGTTCGCACTGCGTTCTGCTTGGTCAGACTCCTAAAGATGGCAGCATCCGTCCCCATGAAGTCGATGTACATGCCTGAAAAAAGCTCCTGGTCTAGAGAAACAGAAAAAGACAAACATCAAGAATGAAAAAAATGATATTGCTCTTCGAGATTCACAAAGTTCTTTTTTTATTAGTCCCATGATGGAGAATTGTAACATGTTTCTGAGGCACAGATGGTCAGGATGTTGGCTTCCAAGTAGTAAAAAAACTAGATGTGCATTTAAATTTAAAATTTAAAAACATTAAATATAAAAAAGAGATTTCTGAACCACATAAAATACAAGAGGCTCCATGTGCTCAATTCCCAGCGTGTCCTAAAAAATATGGGTTGTGTTAAGGTAGAGTGGTGCTTGTGTGACCCACATCAGACTTTCTCACTAAGGACTGTTTCTTGACACGTCTCAAAGGACCTCAAACCTGAGGACGTCGGGTTTTCTTTTCCAGTGTAGCCAAGGAAGTCGGTATCCCTTTGACCCTTTGCTCCCCCTCCCCCCTCCCTCTCTGCCACTGTTTAGGTTAACCTCAGCTCCTGGGCACTGCGTTGGCACTGCCTCCTGCTGACATAGGCAGAGCTCGGGTGTCAGAAAGCTGAGTCGATCGTGTGATCCGTCTTCTTTAGCTGTGTCAACGGCAAACCTACACTCTTCAACCAATCGGGGATCAAAGAAAAATAGCGACACACCAGTGGGAAGGGGTGGAGGTTGACTTTGACCTGATGGTGTGTAGTAGTCAACCTGAAATTTGAACTCTCCTGCAGTCGTGTGTAAGAAATGCTGAAGTAAAATTGGAGCGAAGGTCACGTTTCTTCCCATTACGGCTGACAAAAATAACAAAGTATTGTAGTAGTAGTAGTGTTTTTACAGGTATTAAGTGATACAGAAGAAGGTAGGAGGCACCTACTGAGCATGACGGACACCGTGTTCACTTGAGGGTTGAAGGAACACCTCCCCTTTCCAGATTCAGTCCTGGAGTCGATGTGAAATACTTGCTCCTGTCGTGGGGGAAGCAGAGGAAAGCGGGGTGAGAGAGGGAGGGAATGTGGGGGGAGAGGCTTGAAGACAGCTTTATGTGATAGTTATTCCATAGTGTGGCCTCAGCTTCAATAAAACTCCATGTTATGAGCCTACCAAATGTCCCTCACCATGGACCTGCTCACATTTCAAACCCAGCTCTAAAAGCAGGTCTAGGTCTGGTCTACTCTAACAGGCCCATGTGGGGCAGTTACTGGACCGGTGCTTATGGGATGAGACAGAGGAATTTCCTGGTAATGTCTTGTCATGTTGGAGAGTCATTTCACTGTTCCAGGTGGAAAAAACCTTGTTTAGTTTTTAACCTGTTCCATCCTGGTGGTAGATGTTTTTGAGGGATAATATTTCCAGTGTTTCTGGTCATCTGATTCTGATAGATGGATTTTTAACCCTCAAAAATGGACAAACTTGTCAAAGACTGTGTCAAAGGTTTTTTTTTTTATGATAATTTTATGATCATTTTGAAGAGACATTCTTCCACATCACTTTTACAGTTTTGACTCCATCAGATTTTTTCCTTTCCAAGAACATTTGAAAGAAACTTAATTCCAGTTCTTTGAACAAGCAGTAAAGCAGGTCGTGACCTATTGTGGAGACATTCTCAAATAATTCTACAAAAAAAGAAGGAATTCACTGTCGTAAACACCACTGTGGAAGAGTTTAGATATAACACTTTCTTTGAACTTAGTGACTTCATAGAACACCATTCTATGCAAATGGTCAATAATGTTTATTATAAAACATCATACAAGATGATGAATGAAGATTCATGTCTCCTGTTTTTGCTTTCATTGTTTTTTATGAATCACAGAACGCTAGGACAACGTCATCATTGATATTGCTCTTGATTTCGGGAGCTTCCTGTTCTTACACCACTTCTTAGACTATTGAACCTCCTTCAGGGGAAAGCAGTTTCATGCTATAATCTCAACGTAAACTTCTGACTCTGGCAGCTTGTTATATTCAACAGGTCCCTGTTCCTTGGACGCTGACGTGTTTCAGATCAGAAATTGCAAACAGAGCAGTGTTTTTTAAACAACAGGCTCCGAGCTGACAGAAAGAGCCCGCTGGGGAGGTTTTCCCACTCGGCTTATTGACTTTTGGCAGGAGCTGAACCGTCTGTGTCGGAGCGTTGCTCACTCATTTTGTTGCAATTTTGTTTGGGAGGATTTTTTGTAGCTAATCACGAGCTGCATAAGAGCAGTAAAGGGTCCAAAAAAGTGTCCATCATTAGAGACACTAGTGATTCATTATAATACTTGTCAACTTAAAGAGAGCTGGAAATTTAATAACGTTTAACATTAAGTCATTTCTGTTTTTCTGATTTATTGAATGAACCTGGTCCTTCTTAAAATGTCTAATTTCCAGTCAAGACTTGTTAAAGAAAATCACATTTTAATATACAGTACAATATCCTAGTCAAATCAGTTTAAGAGGTTTTCATTTTATTTTCCTAGCCAAATCAGTTTAAGAGGTTTTCATTTTAAGGACTTTTAAGGAAATCACTGGTTCCATAAATACTGAGCTCTGACGTCAACGCTGCTGCAAAGATTCATTTGAATTAAATACAATTAAAATGAGCAACTCACCTTTTCAGAATGTGAATATCTAACAATATGAATCAGATGGGACAAGAATTATGGGTAAAATATATGATTCAGTTTTATTTAGCTAATTTAAAATTAAAAACAGTATATTTATGGGCAATTCCAGATAAATTTATGGAAATTTAGACCTGTGGTCTCTTTGATATTTTCTGATTTTGTCTTCTGGAGACCCTCATCTGTTAAAATCCTAATCCTGAAATAAAAATATTTATAATTACCTGAAGCATTGATAATCAACTAGCGGCCCACAGACCAAATCTGGTCCGCTCACCTTCAGACAAATAAAGTTGGTGAAACCTCAGCTTAAAAAAAAAGCGTTAGTTCATCACCATAGTACTGATAAAATAATGTACTAATTACTTTTCTCTGTAATACTTTGTTCCAGAATCACTGATTCTACTACTCTACGGTTTTTCGACCAAACACATCTGAACTTCGTTTCTCTGACGGCCACAGCCCAGCTGTGACCTTGACTGTCTGCGGACGGCAATCGCACCTCTGGCCTGCGACCCCTGTTGATGAAGACACAGACGGGACTGTAGGCTCCGCTGCCACACATGAACAAATGGGTCCTGTTGTACGGCTGCACCACCCGGATGAAGTTCCCACAGCCGTGCTACAGAAAACACAGATAAATAAAAGTTCAGAAGGTGAAAGTCGACCATAAAAGTGTCACTCAGATTCATTACGGCCAAATGTTAAACCCAGAGCAGATTTTTTCGATGTGACCTTTCACGAGATAATCCCGAAGACTTTAAAGTTCCACTTTTAATCTTGGGGCGAATAAATACCCAAGTAATAAAAACTGCTTGTAAATAAAGTGGGCTTGATTTTTATTACCCATAAAAAATAAGACTCCCCTTTGTTCCATAAAATACAACCGGAATTTTGGCGTTTCGCTGCATTCACTCCTCTGATAGGGACCAGCAATGTATATTAGTGAACAAATACTAAATATAACGACAGTACGACAGCATTCCCAGAGTTGGTCCACTTGAAAACAAGGTAGTAATTAATAGCTCTCCTGTTTCACTCTGGGAAAGCAAGGTAGTAATTAATAGCTCTCCTGTTTTTACTTTTCTTTGACTTATCGGTCATAAAAATTGAGTATTCAGAACCTTTTACAGTACATTTACAAGTATCACTACTATACCTTTAACTTTACGTATTAGTAGTAAGAATAAGTCATGAAATGGTTCTCCTAAATGGATTGTGTAAAATATTATGACTGCTGTAGTTTTATTCGCTACTTAGGGTATAAAACTAAGTCATTTCTATTCATTTTTGCCTGAATTTTGCTGTGACATTCCAATGACCCCACTGAAGGAAAACATTTAATTTTTAACTGCAATCCCATTTCTAATTTATAGTCAGGACTGTGTTTTTATTGATCCACTTCATGGAGTTTCCTCCACAGCAGAAAATGTTGTACTTTTTACCCAATGACAGGAAATAAAAGCTATAAATAAATAAAATGGAGACACTAAACCTGATGGTTTTTTACATTATTTTAATCCTTAGAAAGATATAAATCATTGAAAATAATAAACAGAACAAGAGATCACACAGACAGTTAACTGGTCCGCAGCCAAAGTGAGGTCTGGATCGTCAACACGTACAGTGTGTTTATCCCTCTTTAAGTATCTGGTTCCGTTCGATGAGATCATTCCAGCTCGTGTCGCACTTGTGATGATGGTTCTTAACACTGCACAACAGACCCAGAGCAGGCGAGTCACTTAGAACCAAGGTCAGTGGAAAATCAGGCTCAGTCCTTGACTGTAATTCTTGCGCCTCCTCCTGTCGACTCTCCGGTCAAATATCACCAAGACTTTATAGTATGGTCCATGTAATTCACAGCCAGTGAGTGGGAGGTGTTGTGTCTCCTGCTTGTGTTACCTTGGAACAATCGCTTGCTTGACAGGAACCTCAAAGTCAGAAGATGGGGCCAATTTCAAGCAAGCAGCTCTTTTGATGGATCTGAAGTGGTTTTCCAGGAGGCACTAAAATCTTGATGCTCTGAGGCGGCCGGCCATGCAGCTCTGTACGTGTGATCACAAATTTCCGGAGAAGTTCCAGATGTTCTCCTAGTGTAGTAAAAGCTCCTCCAGAAAAATACCCCACCCTGGTTCGTAATCAGTGAAACACTGGAAAAGTTCCAGATCAAATTATTAAGACACTTTCCAGAGAAAGTAGCCTTTTATATCCATACCCTGGAATCCACTAATTCTACAGAGATGGTCAGACAGAAGCTGCTTCTGATGTTCTGCAGGTAATTTCCCTATTTGTTCACGTCTCAATCACAAACCTCATGTGTGAGCTTTTCGATAGCCATTAGTCGTATCTGAGGTCAACTTCCAAATGAGTTCATTCCAGATCCCCTGGAGGGAGTCTCCTATCTTCTTCAAATTTGATGGAGACGCCCCACAACTCTTCCAAGAAATGTCAAGAACACATTTGACCAATTCTCCCGATCTCCCATTATGATCATTATTTGTGAAAGGCACACTTCAGAACAGGTCTCTGATGGATCCGCTTTCAATTTTCTTAAAGTAAATGCCAGAAAAGGGCTCAAATAACCACATCCTGAGAGTGTCTAAACTCTTTCTGGGAATCTGCAGGGAAAGGACTGACAGAAAACAAGCAGATAAAGGAGGTGAAAGTGAAGAAAAAAGGAAAACTGAGGAGAGGTAAGCACGTATCCAGGGATCGGAGAGGAACTTGGCCAACGTTACAAGATCAGCAGCTGCTCCAGCTCACGGCCGGCGCTTGGCTCCTCAGAGAGCCATCAACGGAGAGACACGAGGAGTCTTACTGTCACACACCCATCTGTGTTATTTATCCTCCTCCATATCTGTCTATTTGTCCTGCCGTCTCCTCACCTTTTTCACCTTAGCATCTTCTACTTCAAGCCTGAAAGTCTTGAGGTTTCACAAAACCTGGCGTTGTTCACAAACCTAGCTCCATTCAGCTGATTCTAGCCTTTTCCTACTGTTTGATGGACAAACAGCCTCCAGACGCCTGCTCTTAAGTTCAATAGAAGGTCACGGAGAGTGAAAAGTGCTGGATTTTGAGTAAAACAACATTTTTGGTCCGTGTTCAACTGACAACGGCTGGTGCAAACAATGTGCCATCACCCTGCTGAGATCTGCTTCGCCAGCAGATCTTATCAGAAACGGGGAACTCTATATATACAGATGTGGAGCGTAACACTCACAGAAGAGCTGAGGTTTGGATTTAAATGAAAGGAACTGGTTGGAAACAGTGACCGCAGATCGTTATACAAGGAAAGGAGGACAAGGAGGACCGACGCGGAACTGAACTGAGACTTTTACAAGGAAATCTGCCAGAGCTGGACCAGAGTCAGGACGTATGACGGAAAGGAAAAGGAAGCAAATGAGTGGCTTAACACAGTGACGGTTCACCCAAATATTTGTGGGAGACTGTCTGCAGCAGACAGCGCAGTGAGTCAGAGCTGCAAAACTCTTTGGCCACGAGTTGCTTCTTCTTCTTAACTTCTGCAGCAGTGCCGCTCCATTATAACAGCTGTTGCTGAAAACATCACTTCCCAAAAACGTTAGCAGCAGGTAGATTAGATGACTTTGTAACTAACCCAAACTCATTTTTATTAATTATTAAAGGGAAGAATGTCAAATGTCACAAAAATGTAAAAGAATGACTGAAAATTGCTATCCATTGCTTTAGAAAGCTTTGTGAAGCCCTTAACAATGTAAATCAGTCGACATCTGACCTGAATTAAAGCCTCTGCAAACTGTTGCCCTTAACAATGTAAATCAGTCGGCGTCTGACCTGAATTAAAGCCTCTGCAAACTTGGCGTTAAGATGGTATTTTGAACTTCAGGTGCTTTGGTGAAATTAAAACTCTTTTCTAAAGTGTGTAAACGACAACTGTGCACTAGAGCAATGATAACTGGATGGAGAGTGGAAATGTTGGATTTACAGTGATTCAGTTTTAGATCAATTCCATAAATAAATCAATGTATGTCTATTAACAGCCAGAGTTGTTATGTTTTAATTAAATGACAGCTCAAGTGCACCTGCTTAACTTTATTTACCTTTATTTATTTACTTTACTTCCCAATATTTATATCCCAATAATGTTACTCAATCCGAACAGAAGAGCCAAAAACCATTTCAATTTCTTGCACTAAAGTACAATGATTTGTTTCTAAATTAATTTAAATTGAAAGTCCCACGACCTAAAAACACTGGTTTCCTCCATGGAATTTGGATATGGAATACTGTAAAGAGCTATCGTAAAACTAACCAACAAACTCTATACTTTAAGGTGGCACATTTTTAAGGGCAGTAAAAGTTGCTAAGTTTTTTAAACTTGAAAATTAGGACATGCAAAGACGTTTTATCTAAAAATAGGAAAAAGTGACTTTATCCCATAATTCCCTTGTCCTCTGCTCTGCAACATCTGTTGGCAGCAAACCTGCCTGCACTTGTTTCAGAACAACCCAATTAGAGGGAGAAACAGACGCAGAGTCCGTCTGTGCTTCATTGTACACCTTCATTAAAAATCCTACTGCGGCAAACCACTGCCTGTTATGAAACCTCTGCGTCGATACGCCGCGTCACATTTTGCAAACTTTCAATTTTTGCTTTGTTTTTTCAAAGGTCTCTCTGTGGCCTCAGATCCTCCCACGCCACACTCCAGTCTTAAGAATGCCCTCTGTTCCCTCCGCCACAGGACCTCCCCCTGCTGACTCACCCGAGGACAGCTGCAGCTGCCTGCCTCCTGCACCTGATGGGAAAAGGAAATCCCAGGAGGTGCAAGCACAATTCCCAGCTGTGGATCCCACTCTGAGTGTAGCGTTTGTGGGACAGCTAGACTGAAATCAGCCATTCCAGCTTGCTTTCTTACTGGTTGTTATTGATATGGATTTTCATTCAAAGGAGGAAGAGTATGTTGTTTCTTCTTAATATTCCAGAGAATTAACAGGAAGAAGATTATTCTCCTTTTTTGCATTAATGCAGAAACATAAGCTTCTCTCGGACATGAACAGCAGGTTAGCGGCTGTAAAAGAGACGATAAAGATCCCCAAATGTCCTCTCAACTTTTTTCCAGAACCTTCCCAAACGCTGCAAACCCTCAAAGTTGTGTCAGATTTCCAGATAATGTCCTGGTGAGATATCCAAGTGGGAAGAAAGACGGAAAAGCTGCAGACATTTCACAGCAAGGGAGTGATAATGTGCAGGACGTCGGGAAAATACACATATTTCAAGAAATAAGAAGTAGAAAAGTAGAAAAAACAAAGGTTTTCATCCGAGAATATTTTTGTTCATTCCTTCTTACCGTAGGATCCTTGCCGGCCATCTGACATTCCTCTATCTTGCTGGGAGATGCAGGCCAAAACACCTGGTGGTTATAAAAGAAATAATAATTAATAATAATAATAAACTGCCTTGAACTTCAACATTCACTCATTTTTACTTCAGGCGAAGACAGTGGGATGTTTTGGAACTTGTTTGAAATCACATGTGAATTAATTGAGTGACATAAAATTGTGAGCATTTAGAGGAAGATCCTGCCAAAATGGTCAATTATCACAATGGACTTTGGTGCAGAAGATTAGACACTTTATTAATAAATCAAATATTCCTGTGTTTGATAGTGAGGAAACAAAGCAAAGCTTCAATGATATTAGAAATAAGCTTAAACAGACACAAAAAAACACAAACACAAAAATGTTTTCTTTTTTCCATGAAAATTAATTACAGCAGACAACCAGCCATGGAAAATTTGTCTGTTTTTACCCTCAGGAGATGTGTTTAAGGTTCTAGTTCAACGAATATATCAAGCAATTTACCCAGAAATAAAAATTCAGACTGTGTTCAGTGAAGGACTCCCTAGGGAGGAGCTGAAATGCCACTCCATCTGTTTATGCATTTAAAGCCTGTCAATTACACTGACACTGGTTCCATCAGTCTGCACAGCTTCAGAGCTCTGGTGTTTTAATGGCTCTTTTCCACAACACCTAAAATGGTTGCGATGACGGGGAGGTGTGTTGTAATTTGCATGTAAAAGCCTTAATTACAATAATGTCTGCTGGAGCTCTTAGATGAATATGTGGCCAATTACCTGTAGTTTTTAGAGGTGACTTCTGACAAAGTACAGTGGTTATGCTTTCAAATAAAATTGCAGTAAAAACTGAAATTGTGTCATTAAGGAATAAACTCCAACCTATTGTTTATCAGGTAGGACGGAAAAAAATTCCTCCAGGGTTTTCACTGTCTGTCTATTGTTTATCAGGTAGGACAAAATTCCTCCAGGGTTTTCACTGTCTGTCACTGCAGTAGGTCGGTTTTCACCGCTGAACTGCACCATCTCGGAGATTTAAGGTCATGCACATTCAGCAGCACCTCCTGTCAACACTTTTAGATTATTGACTTGAAACAGGACGAGAGTTCATCATCAATCATTTCCAATCTTTGGAAACATTGAGAGGCGAGCCATTCTTTGGTCCTCAAACCAGCTAACATATAGAGAAGACAAAACAAAGCAAACTACGGCCAGTAGGAATTCCGTCTGGAATGTGGAAGGATCTAAGATGTGCTCCACCTAGTGAACAGTAAACTAAATCACTGTCACCCGTTTCTGACCTTCAGTGTGCCGTGTGTGATGTTGTTGATGTCCATGGAGAGGACGTGATCCTTACTGCCCACATACATCCTGTCCTGGTCCTCGTCCATGTGCAGGATCCTGTAGTCCATGGCCTTGTCAGATATACTGTAGTGTTCAAAGGAGTGGGAGGCCTGAAGGTCTGAGTGATGCATGCAGGGGAAAAAAATACATGTTAAAAATGTGTTTACACCAGACCAGAGGAATTCAGTAAACCAGGGATAAAGCTAAATACAATATTGAGTCTGATCATATAAAGATCAAATGTTAGAAATGAAATAATCTGAAAACAGCCTCAGGTTATTCACATCTTGCATGGCAAATATGAAGCAGCTAGTTACAGGATTATCTGGATGATTAACATCAGCATGCTTTAAGGTCTAATGACTTTAATCCATCTCTAATATTTTAACATGAGTAAAGAAATTATGATAATGACGAACATTCGTCTGCATGTATATAAACTCTTACAAAACAAGACTATGGCTGTATGTAGTAAAAGTAAGGCCTGATTTTCATTCCATAGTAAAATGTTGATCCAATATTGGATTTAAATCAAAAACAGGGAGAATTCTGGGAATTGGTTCTTCTCATACTGACCTGGAAAGTTCTTTAAAAAAAACAAAAAAGTCTCAACAGTTCATTAAACGGAGCAAACTTCCTGGCCTGACCACTGAGGTCTGAGACCTGAAGAACGCAGACCAAACTGCCCCTGAAATTGATCCCAGGATGATTTATCAAAGTGAAGTCACTTCCTTTTCTATTTCAGGAGTGAGCTGTGACTTCAGAGACCCCGTGTCCACAGACACAGTTCTTCACTGCGGAGTTTCTTCTCCTCATTAAAAGCAGACATTGTTCACACACACTGACTCTCTCACACACTTATATTCAGCCTGTTTGCTCCAAAGGTAAAAAAAAAAGAAAACTCTTCACCAAACCATCAAAGGCCTTAGTGTCGAAGCCAAACTCATGCATATTTATCACTTTTTCAATCTGAACTGAGAGCAGGCGGTGGGAGGTTCTGTGTGTGTGGGGGGGTTGAGGTGGTCACTGTAGATCCCAACCCTCCACTTCCTCCCCACCACCGAGCGTTCTTTGTATTTCCCCTTCTCTAATCAACAAACAGGTTGCCACTGCCTTGGCCTCGGTGCCTCGGGGCTAAAGTCACATTTTCATGATTGTGAGGCGAATGTGTTCGAGGCTGGGGTCCATTATCTGAAAGTAGAGTGGGGTTTTTTTTTTCAGTGTCTCCCTTCCTCCTCAAGCTCTGATCACAGAGCTGTTCAGTGCATTCAGCCTGGAGTGTTTAACTTTAAATAAAAAGAAGTTCAGTACTTCAAACGCAGGAAGGGGTTCCCACGACTCTTAACTCTTTGCCATCTCTTGGTAAACTGTATAGTAGAGCTCTGAAGACTACCTGGAACATAATATTTACAGATAAAACATTGAAAAGAATCTATAGCCCATCCAATCCAAATGTTTAGAGATAAAACATTGAAAATAATCTATAGCCCATCCAATCCAAATGTTCATTCCAACCTTACGTGACAATGTAAACAGGAACCTATTGCCTCAACAATGGTTAGAGAAGACAAGGAGGTATCGGACTGATATCGTTATCGGCAGATACTCCAAGTATCAGACATGAAAAAGATGTATCCCTCCTGAAAAACATCTCCTGTAACCCTTACATTCAACCTATATTATATATATATTTGCTTGTTATAACAAATATTTGTTGTGATACACAAGTCATCTCATCCTGAAAACATCATATATTTGCTTGTCATAACAAATATTTGTTGTGATACACAAGAATAAAATTCTCCTAACCTTTCAATAGAATTTATGACTAATTAAACAGTGGCCCGCAGGCCATATGAGGCATAGGTCCAACCCAAGTGGCTTTGGGTAATATCAAGCCCAGACATGACTCAGACAGTTATAATTTTAATTAATGACTAGCTAACTTTGTTTTTCCAAAAAGTATCAACTGCACGCTATCTTAGCATCTTCCTCAGTGAAAGCATTAATCCAGAATGTTCTTCAGGATGAAGACGACTGCCTCACAGAGCTGTGGTGTTGGACCAAATAACTGTTTAATATTAGGATGAACTTTGTATTGTTTTCTCTGCGGGGTGAAACTGGAGCCTTTCATACTCCCTCTGAAGAGCTGAAGGTCAGCCTGGAGTGAAAGGGGCTGCAGCGGGGGGTGTGTCACATGGATCCTGCTTACTCACCCAGTGACAAACCAAGAACACTCTGGAGTCCACATACCAGTGGATCCAGTATCTTCTCAGTGTTGTGTTGTCAATTCCATGCTTAGTTTGACTCCTGACTGCACCGCAGACCAAACTTCACGTCTGCTGCACCTGCTTCGAGGAGAAGGGCGTTTCATTGGATCTTGCAATTTTCATGTCAGATCCCTGGAACCTCTTTCCCGTCGAGTCCAAACAAATTCCCTCAGCCGGTGCAACATTTCCAAATTACATATATCAGGACGCACCAAAACAGAAAACACAAAAGCTGGAAAACAACAGTTTGACGTCATCGGTCAGCGTTGATGAAACACCCTGGACCACATGGGACTTGTTAGTCATGAGTTTATGTGCATTCTTCACCGCTGAGGTCGACCCACTCCTGACAGAAAAGTGTTTGTGTGGACATCATTCTTCTGGCATGCTCCAGTTTGTTATTGTGGAAGTAGGGAGGAGATTTGTGGTGTATGTTTTTGTGGATGCTGAAGGATAGAAGATAATAGTGTAATAAAACTGTCCTGCACTTCAGCGGAGAGATTTAGGGACCATGTCTTGTGCGAAGACTCGGTGGTGCAGAAGAATCATTTGACTTTTATCGATTCCTTTTGTAACAGCTCTAACAGAGTTAGAGTTCTTCTGTAGTGTCCTACAGTACTACTGTATGTCATGTCCATAAATGAACACGTACAGTTCCATCTTTGCTTAGGAGGAGTCTAAGAGACATCGTAAGAGAAGTGTCATGTCTTGAGTGCGTGCCGTTAATGTGCTGCGTACTACATTTTAGCCATTCAAATTACCTAAGAGCACACATGACTACAGAAAAATCGGGCAAATGGTATCTAATAAAGTTTGTACTTTAAAGAGCTGGAAAAACGTTTTTGATTTTCAGCATAAACCCAATATTAATATTGCTCTTGGTTATATTTCCTTCATGTCCTTAAATACATTTTTTACTTACTTGGATTCGGTTTCTTTTCAGTCCTAGTTTCAAGTAACCAACCACTCTAAAAAGAAGCATATACCTGGACAGGAAGTGATAAAATGAAGTATTTGTGCTGCACTCACTGGGGGCAGAGAGGCAGAAAGATGCTGATAAAAGTGACGGAAGTAAGAGGGTTAAAAAGTGAGCCACAGTTGGTCTTTGTATTATGCATGGCCACAGGTGGGCTGTATGCTGCTCTGTAGACCTCACAGCAGTCCCCAGTGTCAAGCCTTTGACTTTGAGCTTTGACCCGTGCTACCCTGGTGGCTGGATGGCAGACAAGGGTCTGGTCCTGGAGATGGACAGTGGGCTAAAGGCAGAGAGTTTCTATGTCTTTCGCTCTCTTTGATGTGGGTTTTTTGAGCGAAGCGGTCGAGCAGAAGTGGCATAAAAGCCTTTAGTTGGGATGTGAAAGGACAGCATATAGTATATTTATTTAGATTTCAATTAAAGAACTACCTACACTGCGAAAATATATGCAGAGCACAAAGATAGCCAAATAGCTAAAAAAAAAAGAAAAGAAAAAGCTAATTGAGCAGAAAATAGTATATTTATTATTATTTATATACAAGTTTCTTCTCCTTCTAAAATTTCCTTTTCAGTTTTTATGATAAGTTTGACCCAAACAGGGTCCAATCCTCACCAGCATTTCAAAAACTATAAAAAAAAATACTCTGGAAATTATCCATAATGCTTCCAAGGCAATTATATGGAGCTTAAAATATCCAAAGTGAAAAAAATATGAATTTCCTGCTCTGTTTCACAAAATGATGGAATGTTTCTATGTTGCCCAGAGGTTGCTATTCTGGTCAGTTGTACAATGTGACCTTTATCATCCAAATGTGATATTACTGACATTTCTTTCCACATTTTATCCATGAAATGTAAAAAAAAAGGAAAAGTTGCAGTCAAATATGTGCCACAGCATCACTGCTACCGCAGACTGTGGTCACTGTGGCAGAAAATGTGTCCCATAAAGCCTGAAAAGAATTGGTCACAGACACCCTGGACAACCTAGGACAATAATCCATGAAGGGAATCAAGCCACAGAGTCCAACAGAGTTGGAGAAGAACGTCCTGTTTGATGTGACTGCAATGAATTCAGATAAGACAGAAAATGCAGGACTGAAGAGTGGCATCAACAAGCACCAAAACAAAATATCACCAGGAGTCTTTTTGACTGGTTTGTCCACCAGAATGTTTTACAAAGTCTTATAGACAAAATAACCGCTCAGTTGTACACAACAATATTTAGGGCCTTACACTTGATGGTCCATAAATAAAGAGGGTTTCTACAGCTCAAAACCTGGTTTTATTTTACCTGGTCCAAATCGGCCAACAAATAATTGGTCTATATTTTGTATTAAGAATGGGCTACGTAAAAATTAACTGACTTGTTTGTCACAAATTTTGTTAGAAATCTTACTAATACGTCCAAATTACATATAATATTGAGCATGTGGATCACAATTTCACAATATGATGGAATTTGTTCTCATTTGCTTGTGCTTAGCTGAAAACAACTTGTATAAACCACATCTGGATCAAATTCCTGATGGTGAACTTGACCAGGTAAGTTAGGTCTTGAGAATATTGGCCAAAAACATTTGATCCAAACTTCAGATAAAACATTAAACTAACTGTAAAAAATTCAAAGCACATTTTTCTGGACCAGAGGTGGACCAGACTGCTCTATAGTACGTGGTCAATCCTAGGTCAACAAAGTTAACTTTCTTTCTTTATATACCGTATAGACTGTATAGAGAGAGCTGAAACATAGTCTACCTTTTGGATGGCAGATGTGGGGCACTTAGAGACCCATAAATCTCTGATGTATTTCTGCCAAGTGACCAATTTTGGTATGTGCATTTTGAGATACAGACTCATAAAAATAAGAGATTT